ACACCTTATCCCTCTGTATACTGTACCTGCAGCAGTGCCTGTTACACTGTTCTTAGTTATGGGTGGGTTGATTTGGACTCATGATGACCCCAAGTATACAAAGTAGAATTGCTTCATAGGGTTTTTTAGATCACCAGGCCTGTCTTTCCAGGCACTTGTGGGTGGGTTCAAACCATTTGTGTCACCCAGAGACTGGTATGTAGTAGATACATAACATTTTAAACTATTTTTTAAAATAAGTTTAGTCATATGTATACTTTGTGTATTTCTTCTATGAAGCCTTAGGGATTTTGAATAAACTTTTCATATCCAAAATAAACCAGTATCATACTGTTTTAGAAGTTGAAGGGATCTCAAAAATTATCTAATTCCATGACATCTGTTTACAGAGGAAACAACTTATTTTGTTTTCCATTTATTTTTATTTTATTATTATCTTTTTATTGTGATTTGGGTGGAAGTTTACAGAACAAAATGATTTTCCATTCAACAATTTATGCACATTTTGTTTTGTTACATTGATTGCAATCTCCACAATGCAATGTCTCTCTTCCCACTTCCTCTCTCTGGTTACCTGTTCCCTGTGTCCTTTCTTAACCCCTCTGAGCTATTTCTTTGCACAAATGCTGCCCCTCTGATCTACCTTGGTTGATTGTTCTAAGGAATGTAGCTACCTGGTTTAATTGCTCACATTGTAGGTTCGTCTATTGTTTGGCTAGAAGTTAAGCCATGGGACAGAGTTCAATTCCATTTCTGAAGGATGACTAAGGGCCACAGTTTTGGGAGGTTCAGGGTCTCTGTAGACCAATAAGCCTAATCTTTTTTTTTATGATTTTGAGTTTTGTTCCACATTTTTTCCCATTCTATTTAGGATCTCCAATTTTGATCCCTTTCTGAGTGGTTAGCAGGGGTAGCTGGGCACCATCTCTTTCTGCTCTCAGGGTCATGCAGGCTGAATTTCTTATGCTGGGTCCCTTGGACTAATTGTTTCCATGTGCCCTTGATTTTTTTTTTTTAACTCTTATATGCTCTGGGAGAGAAAAAACAAATTGTTGTGTCTTAAGTGGCCATTCACAAGTTTTAAGAGTCACTACTCACCAAAGTAGAATGTAGAACAATGTTTTTGTGTAGTAAATTATGCCAATTGAACTTGATGTCCCTCACATCAGGGTCCTGAGCCCATGGGCCCAGTAACTTACTCCTTTAAAGTGTTTGGCTATGGCTAAGATGTTATCATGACTTAGTTTCCTGTTAGCTCTATTATATATATATATATATATATATATACACACACACACACACACACATATACATATATATATATATATGTATATGGTTATTTTTATAGCACATACAAATATGTATTTAGAAATATCATCTGTCAGATTTATATATGGTCATGGTATATTCCTTTCGCCTACCCACACCTGATCATTTTGCCTTTCTACCTGTGTACCCAGGCATACATTAATGTTTGTTTTATTATTGATAATGCAGTGTTGTGTATGCAAAAGTATTTACCTTTGTTACCTCTACCCCTTATCACTTCTCTGCGTCTTCCTTTTCCTTGGTGTTATTGTACTGGTTACTTGCTTTTGGTATATTGCCTTTCCTTTCACCCAAATTTATAATATTTGTCTCTTAGCTAGCTGGTAATTTTCCCTTCTCTCCCCTCCCAACCCTGGTAACCAACAAAGAAAGTTTCCTTCCATGTATAAACTTTTCCTTGATTTTTTATAATAGTGAACTTATGCAAAATTTGTCCTTCTGATTGACTTATTTCACTCAGAATAATGTTCTCCAAATTTATCCATGTTATGAGGTATTTTGTGGATTCTTCATTATTCTTTAATATTACATAGTATTCCATTGTGTGTATGTACCATTTCTGTCGATGGACACTTAGGTTGCTTCCATCTCTTTGCTATTGTGAATAGTGCTTCAATGAACATGGGTGTGCCCCAGCTCTCACCAGTTTAGAATGTATACCTAGTAGTGAGATTGCTGGATCAAAAGGTATTTCTATTTCCAACTTTTAAGGAAGGATCATACCATTTTCCACAGTGGTTGCACCATTTTACAGTTCCACCAGCAGGATATGAATGTTCCAATCTCTCTACACCCTTGCCAGCATTTGTTATTATCAGTCTTGTTGAACTCTTCTATTATTGCTGGAGTGAGATGATGTGTCATTGTTGTTTTTATTTGCATCTCTCTAATTGTTAATGATCATAAGCATTTTTTTATCTGTTTGTTGGCTGCCTGAAAATCTTCTTTGAAGTGTCTGTTCATGTGTTCTACTCATTTTTCAACTGGATTATTTGCCTTTTTGATCTTGAGGTATTGAAATTTTCTATAAATTTTAGAGATAAATCCTTTGTCAGATATGTCATTGCCAAACATTTTTTTTTCCCAAACTATAAGTTAGTATTCTACTCTTTGGAGAAATGTTTTGATGCACTAAAGAATTTAAGTTTTAGAAGGTCCCAGTCATCTAGTTTATCTTCTGTTTTTGTATTTTTAGTTATGTTTGAGAGTCTATTTATACCATGTGTTAGGACCCTCAGTTTGCCCCTATTCTTTACTTGATGAAATTTCTAGGTTTAGATTTTACATTTAATTTTTTTAATCCATCTTGAGTTAGTTTTTGTGTATGATGTGAGGTATGGATCCTGCTTCATTTTTCTGCTAATGGATTTCCAGTCTTACCAGCACTATTTGTTAAAGATACTGTTTTTTCCCCATTTAATGGGTTTTGGCCTTTTGTCAAAGAGCAGCTGTCCCTAGGTGGATTTATTTTGGGGTTCTCCATTCTAGGAACAACTAACTTATAAGATGAAACTTAAAAACCATGGCTGATTAGTGGAAAAACTGACCTACAACTAAGGAATCCAGACTGAATCTAGTGTTATTGCTATAGGACCATAACTGACTTTCTCACCACTATCCATCATTAACATACATGTTCCACCAGCAAACCTCAGGAAGTCAAGTGATGTCAGTGAATATGTACCCGACAGTGATATCATTTCTTCCACTCAATTGATCCAAATTATTGAAGTTTAGCATTTCATGCAAAACTAAAGTAAATAATACATTTTTCTACATAACTGTTAACACTGAATTCATTATATTCTCTCAAGGGGAACGTTGTATAATTGCATGCAATGCTTTTCTTAGCCTGGTGATATTTGTAACATTAAAAATCATCAACAGAAGAGATAAAAATAATTTACTCCAACTTCTAAAAAAATATATATATTTGAATTAGGTGAACTCACTGCCATCAAGTCGATTCCAACTCATAGAGAACCCTATTGGGTTTCCACGGCTGTAAATGTTTGCAGAAACAGACTGCCCCATCTTTCTTCCACAGAGTGGCTGGTGGGTTTGAAATAACATCCTTTCAGTTAGCAGCCAAATGCCTTAACTACTACACCACCAGAGCTCCATTGAATTATGTGAAGCCATGTTTAAGTATTTTTGACAGTATCAAAGCCCTGTTTCACTTCAAGGCATCCAAGTAATTGACATCCCTACAGAGAGGAGCAAAGCCTTACTGGGCCACTCAACATAGCCCTTTCTGGCCAACCATTTCTCCACTGATGGAGTTCTGAACAGTCTGTATGGGGTACTGTGTGGGCAAACACCTTCTCTTACCTCTGCCTTTCTTTCCCCTGAGATATCTTAGGAAATGCTGTCTCCACTTCTCTGAGCTTGTTCTATTTCCTCTACTTTTCAATCATCTCTCAAGATATTCTACCTCATGTGAATTTTTCTGGTAAATGTACTCATAAAACTGCTTTTTAAGTTACCAAAAACAAACACTAAAACCAATTCTTTCTTATTTATCACTAACATTCATTGACTTCTTAGCATATTATTGAGTACTACACAAAAGACTTTATCAGAATTAACTAACTTAAAGCTCAAAAAAAAAAAAAAAATCAGTTGCTGTTGAATCTATTGGTACTCATGCTGACCCCATATATGGCACAATAGAACTGTGCTCCACAGGATTTTTAATAGCTATGATCTTTTGCAAAAGAACTCTGATGGCACAGTGGTTAAAGCGCATGGCTGCTTACAAAAGATTGGCAGTTTGAACCCACCAGCTGCTCCATGGCAGAAAGATGAGGCAGTCTGTTTCTGTAAGCATATATAACCTTGGAAACCCTATGGGGAAATTCTTCTCTGTCCTAAGGCTCCCTATGAGTAGGAATTGACTCAATAGTAGTGGGTTTGTTTGGTTTGGTTTGGTGATCTTTTGCAAGTAGATCATCAGACTCTCTTCCACAGCATTGCTAGTTTCAAATAGACAACCTTTCAGTTAGTAGTCAAGGGCAAACCATTTGCACCACCCAAGTATCTAATTGGAAGCTTAAAACAGGTCCATAAAATAGTTACAGTTATTATCACTAACTGCAGATGAGCAAAAGAGACTAAAAAAAGCTAAATAAATAAGTGGCAGCATCAAGGTTCAAAACAAGTAGCATGACTTCAATCTACAGTCTTATCCAGTATGCAAAGCCATTAATTCATACAGAAAGGGATTGCTCTTCCATGTCTATCAAACCTCAAGCTATATATTCACAGATTCCTACAATGGGAAAACTACTTACAGTTTGCTGTTTGCAAACAGGGAAAAAAGGCCTACAGAAGGAATGTATCCTGCTCCTGGTCTTCTTCTTCTCCAGTCTAATCATGCAGCTTCAAGAAGTGATGCCTCAGTTCATTTCCTTAGGTCCTTGGAACAGTGACTGTGCATTATTTTTCCTGGGAGTGAAATAGCATTAAACTAATTAGCATATTTGCTGCTGCAAGTAAGGGGTTAGGTGGGGGTGGAGTTGAGATTGAAGTAGAAACATGAGAAATGGAAGTTGAATCATTTGTCTAGAGTCAGTCTGCCTGTGACAGCAGGCTTGACATTTGTTATTTTGAGATCATGCATTTTCATATATGAGCTGTCTAATATTTAAACATTGACTTTAAATTGGTAGCAATCAGTTAAACTGCATAACCTTGTGGAAGATCACAACAAAGTCCAGGTTACAATCAACATAAAAGACAAAGGTAAGTGCTATGTTCTGTTATTTTTCACATCAAAATAATTGAAAATGGAGTCAGTTTCATTTACCCTTTATTATTAGCTAGGAAAAAGTCTTGAACACAGGACTGAGACTAAGGCAAGCTGAAATTTAACATGTGAAATTTTGGGAGGCAAGGCTGTGCAAATGCTGGTCCTGCACTTGAAAGACCCTGAGAATGAATGACATATTCAATATTTGCACTATACATGCCTCACTTGCTTCATCCTAGTCCTAGTCCTGATTGGATCATTCCTGCCCAATGTATGGGTTACTTCAAATTTCCTCTGCTCTTCACATTTCACTCATGAATATTACTGGTTAACCCTCAACTCTTCTTTTATTTGGCATCTAACTATCTCAAACATTTCCTGCATCATACATTTCCAATTACCATCCAGAACTCAGACCTGAATGGGGCTTTTAAGTGGTTGACTGAATGGCATTTGCTCTGAGTTAGACCGGGGTAGGGTAGCCATGGCTCTCAACAAAGAGTAAAGAGTTATGGCTCAAGGTCCATATAAATTATCTGGATGGTTTGCATTTGCATGAGGTCTTAATCTAAGTAAACAGAGTGCACCACAAAGGGTCAGGAACCTAGTCAAAAGAGTGACAGCCAATGGGTACCATCAACTAGCATCCTTGAGTAGCCACTGTGGGCAAAACACCACATCAGGTACTAGGATCAAGGCAGAATCTTGTTACTAAGATAACCCTTTGCTATATTTGAGGAACCAGTTCATTAATCTTAGTTTTTCTTGGGATTTGCAATTGAATAGACAGCCATTTAAACAGATGAGAGGTAGAGTAAACTTGGCCAACACATTGATAACAGTTCTCAGTCACTTTCATTTTCAGTAAAAACAAAAAGATCAGCTAGTCATGAACTTTACTGTTGTGTAGGTTTGCAGGAGCTGGAATCTCATCTCTTGGTTCCTGGAGACGTGCTTATTCTTCCAGGAAAATTGTCATTGCCATGTGATGCTGTTCTGATTGATGGAAACTGTGTGGTGAATGAAGGCATGCTCACAGGTATGCGCTGTGATGGAGCACCTTCTTCCCTGTCCAACAGCCAGGGCAAGTGTTAGCAAGTCAGGTCAATATATAGTTCACTACTTTATACCAAGGAGCTCTGGTAGTGTAGTGGGTAAGGCATTTGGTTGTTAATCGGTAGGTTGATGGTTTAAATCCACAAGCTTCTCTGCAGAAGGAAGATGAGGCAATCTACTTCCATAAAGATTTACAGCCTTGAAAACCTAATTGTGATCACTATGAGTCGAAATCCACTCGGTGACAGTGGGTATTTTTTTTTTTTTTCCACTTTATACCAGGGACTGTGCTATTCAAATGAGCACAATATCTGCCAAGAGACAAAGTTTAATAATATAAGAATTAAGCAAAAATAAGTATGAAACTAGAAGTAACTCCTAATATAACAGCAGAGAGGTGGAATGATAGAGTGCTTTGGGTTCAGAAACAGGTGAGGGCACTATATTGTTTGAGACATAATCTCTTCATAAATATGAGAATGATTTATCCACTTATCCAGACAAACACAACCTAAAAGATCACTGTTGTTGTTGTTGTTATGTGCCGTCAAGTCGGCCCCAACTCGTAGCAACCCCTCCGTGGGTTTCCGAGGCAGTATCACTACGGAAGTAGAATGCCGAATCTTCCTTCTGAGGAGGAGTGGCTGGTGGGTTTGAGCTCCCTCAATTGGAAGGGCTAGAGACCTTATCTAGCCCTTCACTCTGTAGATGGGAACCTGAGGTTCCATGGGAAAGAAACTTGAGTTGAACATTGGGGGAAAGACAGTGTACTGATTCTGTTTACCTTTGGGTTAGAAAACCATTCTTCTAGATATGGTTGGAACTGTAATAGTTCTTATCTGTACTAGTAATGTCTACTTGAATTTGTATAATTCATAAAGCACTATTTAATGGGAGCTCTGGTGACATAATGCTTAAGGCATTCGACCTCTAACTAGAAGGCTGGTGGTTCAAACCCACTAGCTGCTCCTCGGAAGGAAGATTGGGCAATCTACTTCCATAGTGATACCACCTCGGAAACCTAAGGAATGGTTGCTATGAGTCGGATCTGACTCGACAGCAATGAGTTTGGTTTTGGGTTTATTTATTAAATATTCTTTAGGAAAACACACACACACATAGCACTTGGTAATGAAAAACAGTTTGACTATTTTTGTGCTTACAATTTCTTGAATTTTTCTCTTTGCAAATGGTGTAAAGAGAGAGGAAATGACCCCCCTCCAAACTTTTTAACATCACCTATGTGAAAAGGGGACCTATTATCTATTCCTAAGCTGTTCAATACAAGCAGATTTCACATTAAAAAATGGGTTTTCTTAATTTAAAATTGAGACAAGAAAACATAGTAAACATAAATATGTTAAGTATAATTACAAAATACTCCTTTAATGTGCTGAAATCTAATTGCCTTATAATGATAATGATGAGGATCTGCATACTGATCCTATTTTTCATCCAGAATGTTGCCATAGTACCCAAACTTTAAACCCAAGGAAAGCTGTCCATCTTCCTTATACACAAAAACTATTTCCCATCTCTCACTGCCCAACAATGAAGGATGGCTTCTCTTACTGGCAACAGAGAGCATGGCAATGAGGAAACAAGGGGAGGAGAAAGGTTTACTGTCTTGGTCTGCCCTTTCTCCTTAACTGACCAGGCTGTACAGTACTTGCCTTGATTCTCAACAACACTCAGAGTTCTAGAGATGTAAAGAAGGTAAACAATGCTTCCTTTCAATAAATGTGCAACAATTGGCCTAAAATGTCCTTAAATGGTAAGTAGATTCTTCTAGTACCTGTTTCTGGAATATTAAGTCACCAACATTAATACCTATGCAATCTAAGTATAGATCAAGGCCAATTTTAGAGAGAGACACATGAAACAGAAATATATATATTTCTCTCTGATTAATTTATTAAAAAAAAAATCTTCATAACAACATGCTCTAAATATGTTATTACACAGTATACACAGATACTCCCTCTCATATACATAATGGGGGAAGGATTCTGATTGAATAATCAGAAGATTAGGGGACTATTCCTGAAATTTCAAATGCCTTGCCATCATATTTGTACACAAATGAGACTCAGGTTATTTTATCTCCATGTGCAAAATAGTCCTCTGTGTACATAAACCAAAAAAACAGAATTCAATGCCATCAAGTTGGATCAGACTCATAGCGACCCCTCCTTGGGTTTCTGAGGCGATATGACTACTGAAGTAGATTGTCCAGTCTTCCTTCCGAGGAATAGCTGGTGTGTTTGAACCACCAGCCTTCTGGTTAACAACCAAAGCATTATACCACCAGAAGTCTTTATTTACATAAGTAAAAATAGCAAATACTGCCAGCGTCTCTATAACAATTTCCATTTTATAAATGATTTTTATGTGTGACTTCATTATGACAAAAAAACAAGTTAGATTAAGAGTTTAGAAACGAAGAAACTGAGGTTAAAAGAGGCCAGGACCGTGAGAGAACCAGAATTGGAGGCCATGTTTAGTTCTAAATATAAATACCCATAGGACTGAGAAAGATGATTCCAAGGTAGGTAAAACCAGTGCCTTCATTTTCTTGCCTTGGGAACTTCTCTCTCCCTCTTGATGTTCCCATCCATAGCACAAGCCCATTGGTAGGATCTTCCTTTTCCTCTTGATTTCATCAGTCTCATTTTATTACCATAAACTCGGTTATGGAAGAAGCTTAACCATTTTTAAGATTGTAGTTAACATATATGTCACAGCACATTTGCCATTTCAACGTTCTTCACATGTACAATTCAGTGACATTGTGTTCATCATGTGCAACTGTCACCATTATCTGTTTCTGGATTTTTCCATCATCCTCTACAGAAGTTCAATGTCTCCAAAGCAGTGAGTGTCCCTTTTCCATTCTCTCTCACCCATGCCTGGTAACCACTATTTTACTTAGGTCTGTACACACTTACCGATTCTGTTGTTGTTGTTGTTATGTGCTGTCGAGTCAATTCTGACTCATAGCAACCCCTCCTTGGGTTTTTGAGGCAGTATCTCTACAGAAGCAGATTGCCCAGTCTTCCTTCTGGGGGGTGGCTGGTGGGTTTGAACTGCAAACCTTCTGGTTAGCAGCCAAGTGCCTTAAGTACTACACCACCAGAACTCCCTTACCGATTCTAGATATTTCATGTAAGAGGAATCATATAATATCTGTCCTTTAGTGACTGACTTGTTTTACTCCAAGAAGCTTGAAATTATTTATAACTACACTTAATTTTTATTTTGGCTCCAAATATTGGTAGCTTTGGAAACATTCAGTGTAAAATGGCTGGTCTAAGATAGCTATCCCCACCAATGAGCAAGCCCATGTGACACCTACCTGTCTAGCTTTGGGTATGCAAGGCATTGGGGAGAGGCACCTGGTCTAGGTCAGCTCTTGTTTCTCCTACTCCCATTTCACACCTGGCTGGGGAAACTGTCTGAGACCTATCTACCTGGAAAGGGAGGACAACCCAGATGCCTTTTACTCTCAGTTTCCACAAGCTTGTTGTACCTAGTTTGGTGAAGGCCCCCTTTTTTTTTTCAGACTCACACAATATCAGCAGTGATTAAGCACTTGGCTGCTAACCAAAATGTTGGCAGTTAGAAAAGACCCAGCAGCTGCATGGAAGAAAAACGTGATGATCTGCTCTGGTAAAGATTATGATCTAGAAACAGTAGGGGGCAGTTCTACTCTGTCACATGGGGTCACTATGAATCAGGATTGACTGGACAGCACCCAATAACAACAATGCAATGTCTAAGTTTCCTTCGTATGTTCTCCCACCTCCCCTTCTGTGTATTAACAGGAAGCTTATTTTTTATTCTCAGGCAGTTCTTCTTACTCTCAGGTAGTCTCTAAAATCCATGCTCAAACTTATGAATGATTTTGAAACTCAAAAGTCAGTTACCAGCTCCCATGTCCTTTTTTTCTTCTTCTTTTCCTAAAGCAATGATCCACCTCAAGATGTAGCTCCTCTAAGAAGGGAGGGGACAAGAGGCAAAAGGGAATACCATGGGAGAAAACCTATTAAATTTTCTCCTGGCTCAATTTTCTTTTTTTCTTGTTAATTGTCTCTTGACAAAATAGCTAATTATTATTATTATTTTAAAGTTCTTATATATATTGGGCACTGTGCTAACATTAGGAGTTCTGGTGGTACAGTGATTAAAGCATTCAGCTGCTAACTAAAAGGTCGGCAGTTCAAATCCACCAGTCCCTCCATGGGAGAAGGATAAGGCAGCCTGCTTCTGTAAAGATTTATAGCCTTGAAAACCCCATAGAGCAGTTCTACTTTGTCCTATAAGGTTGCTGTGAGTTGGAACAGACTTGATGGTAGTGGGTTTTTTAGTTTGGTGCTAACATTTTATGGAAATTAAAATTAGCACTTTGACATTTAGTTTTAATTATTACTAAGGACAGAACATCAAAATAAGCCAATTTTCAGGTATGCCAAAGGTCAGTACAAATATATATAATTTTCTGGTTTTTGTGTGTCTATGAGTAACTTTTTTCCTTGGATACTCACTATGCTAACATTTACAAATGTTACTTCATTTAATTTGCAACTCTAGAAGGAGGTAAAACCTGAGGCCCAAAGAGTTCAAGTAATTTACACAGGGGATTTGGATTTATTTGTTTATTCATTCAATCCACAAGTGCTACTAACTCCTACTGAGTACCAGGTATTTTTCTAGGTGATAAGGATAAAGTAGTGAACAAGGCAGGTAAGATTTCTGCCTTCATGGAACTAAAATTCTACTGTGTAAGATAGAAAACATGAAAGTGGGTAAATAGCATAACTTACAAACAATTATAAATGCTATAAAGAAGAAAACCAAAAAAACCAAATTCACTTCCGTGGAGCCTGATCTGACTCATAGTGATCCCTCCTTGGGTTTCCAAGGCGGTATCAGTATAGAAGAAGAAGAAGAAGAAGAAGAAAACACTTAAACCCAGGCATTTCGTCATTCACTCTGTCATAATCTCCTTCCCTTCCCCTGTACTCATTAGAGTCAATGATTTATTAGAAGTGTCTATGTGTGGAGTAAGCAATGACCTGTGATGGACATGTAGGAATTTCCATAAGCAGTTATTTCAGGTTCACATCCTGTCAGACAAGCTTATAATAGGTTGTTGATGGGCCATATCTTTTCCTCTCTTCCTTTTATCTTTTCTTTTTCTCTTTCTTATCTCCCTCTTTCCTTTATTTCCCCTACTTGTTTATCCATTCATTTATTTATTCATTCATTCCATAAAAGTTCAGAGGTGCCTACTGTGTCGAGGCACTGTGTTGTGTACTGAGGTCACTAAGATAACTGAGAAATGGTCACTACTCTCACAGAGTTTACAGTCGAGTGGTCCTCCAAATAAAAGTAAACAAGGACATAGCACTTCAGACATGCAGTGGCACCTGGCTCATTGGAGACAAAGAAAAGAATCTTCATGCCATGGCAGCCAGAATCTCCAGGCCCAGGAGCCAACTGAACTGTTGATGCCCAACACCTCCTTCTGAAATCCTCTCCAGCCTCCTTAGTCCCACAACTTTGGTAGGTAAATCCCTCCTTTCTTAGCCTCTCAAGAGTCCTTATTAATATGTGAATAGTAGAAAAGAGACTCTGCATACAATCATTTGAGTTGAGGGCAATCTATGGACCATACTGACTCTAAATGACTTCCCTCTGTCGTTGAGAAAATACCACCTGCCCCTGATATCATCAGTAAGTGTGCAGAAAATGTTCATTAATATCAGCCTAAACATGTATTGTAGGTTAATATTGTATAAACCAAATATGGAGAAACATTTTGAATTATCTATATAGATATCTGCATTCCACACCATTTTTCTTCATTAGCATTTGTTATGAAAAATAATTCAATATCATAGGTTTAAAAAATCACTTCAAACAATGTGATACAATGATTTTGGGATTTTTCAAACAGCTCTACCCACTTCACAAAGCCATTTAGTAGACAACTGATAATTTTTAATGCATACAATGGATGAGATAACATAATTGTTTTGAGAAAAATGATTTAGGGACAATGCCTGGCTGAATGAGTTTCTTAAAGACTCCCCAAGACAACCAATAAATATTTTATAGCTTCTTGCACCTTAGAGTATAAAAAATGTACCATTGTATAAAATTAGTTTGGAAAACTTGGATAATTGTTTTCATTTAATTCATTCACACGTTCAATAATGTATATATATATGTGTGTGTGTATATATATATATATATATATATATATATATATATATATATAATCTATTACACACCACACACCACTAGGGATAATGAGGTATATAAACACTTATATATGTCAAGGTCCCTGTCCTCAGTTATTATCTAGAAAGAGAAATAAGACCTAAATTTGTCAACTATGGTCAATATAATACTATTTCCAAATTAGAAATATGGCACATTATCTCGCTGATTGTATATTTAGCACAGGATGGATGGAATTTTTAATTCATTGTTGTTGTTGTTGTTGTTATTTGCTGTCGAGTCAGCCCCGACTCATAGCGACCCCTCCTTGGGTTTCTGAGGCAGTATCACTACGGAAGTAGGATTGCCCAACCTTCCTTCCGAGGAGTGGCTGGTGGGTTTGAACCACCAGCCTTCTGGTTAGCAGTCAAGTGCCTTAGGCACTATGCTACCAGAGCTCTTCAAATCTGGAAGCCAGGAAGTGTTATTAGCATTTTTATTTTGCCTCTAAAATTGATCCCTTTTGAACTCTGAGCTAATTCATTGAACATTAAATATTCTGTCTTACAGTCATTAGGGTAAGGTAGAGGAAAGTATGGGCAAAGGATGGGAGTCAATAATAGGAAATGTGAATAGCTTAGGTTAGCTGGAGTTTGTGGAGGGGTATAATAGGCAATGATGCTCAAATTGTAGTGAGCAAGGGACCCTTGAAAATCTATCAAGAGAGCTTGGGCTCTATATAGTAATGGCAATGGGAAAGCCTAAAGAGTTTTGAGCAAAAGAGATGATAAAATGGTGAACTTCCACAAGATTCATTTGGAAATGGTGTGAGATGACCCTGGAGGGGGGCTGGAGATGCCAGACAAGTTGGAAGGTCAAGACAGATTATGGTTGAGATACTTATTCCTTAAAAAAAAAAAAAAAATGTATTAGTTCTACTGTACAGGTTACTAGTTGCTGTTGAGTGGATTCCAACTAATGGTGACCTTATGTGTGTCAGAGTAGGATTGTGCTCCATAAGATTTTCAATAGATGATTTTTCAGAAGTAGGTCATCAGATCTTTGTTCAGAGGCACCTGTGGTTGGTCTGGAACCTCTAATCTTTTGATTAGCAGCTGAAAATGTTAACAGTTTGCACAAACAAGAGCCACAAATAATCATCCAGAGACTATGTTTGCACTTCAAAGAACTAAACAAATCACAGCTAATCCATTGTTAATGCTACCAGTGGTTATCAGACAGTTATTGTTCCTGATCACATTGGAGGCAAGCTACAAGAATCCAAGAATGGCTGAGTTCAGGGAGCACACTCAGAAAGAAGAAACAATAGAACTTAGAGAATCATTCTGGAGTAGGCAAAGCATCAGAAGAAGAAGGCTCTAAGATGATCCTGAGACCTTAATTCTGTGACTCAGTAAAATGGTGGTACCATAAGAGAAACAGGAACTTCAGGAGATGATTTAGATAAATAAAAATATCAATAAAAATATTGATACTGATTTTTGATAGATTAACTGAGATTCTAGTTGAGTATCCAGATAGGGATGAAAAACCCAAGATGCAAGTATCAAACAAGATCCCAGGAGAGAGGAAAGGTGATACCAATGGTGTAACTCTTTAGAGATTCTAATTAATGAGAATAAAACTGAGATTATCCAGATAGAGAAAAGAGAGGCCTTGTCTTGTTATTACCTTCTTCACTGCAAGCTCCGAAAAGATCATTGAAGAATACTTTATAGAGTTTATGGAGGGATCATTTTGCATTCACCTTTGTATTTCTGGGACTGATGACCTCTACCCTTACATTCAATGTCCCTTATAGCTTCAATTATTTTTAGCACCCAGAGCACACTATGCTCTTTCTTTCACCTCATCTAAGAACTCTTTTCTCTCCTTCTTGTTCTGACTGACTTTACTATCCTTTCAAGTTGTCATTTATAAGTTGTCCAGGAAATTTTACTTGATCTTCCATTTTGGGTTAGATGCCCACATCATTTGGTACTACTACCAAAACACTGAACTTATTGTATTTTATTCAACTATTTATAAGTCTGGGAGCTCTAGTAGCATAGTGCCTAAGGCACTTGACTGCTAACCAGAAGGCTGGCGGTTCAAACCCACCAGTCATTCCTTGGAAGGAAGGTTGGGCAATCTACTTCTGCAGTGATACTGCCTCGGAAACTCAAGGAGGGGTCACTATGAGTCATCATTATATTCCCAGGAACTAGCACAGTGCATGGCACAAAATAATAATAATAATGAAAAAGAAAAAAAAACAATTCATTGCCATCAAGTGGTTTCAGACTCTTAGCAACCCCCACTGGTTCTCCAAGGCTATAAATCTTTATGGAAACAGACTGCCAGAGTCTTCTGTGGAGCAGCTGGTACATTTGAACCATAAACATTTTGGGTAGCAGCCAAATGCCTTAACCACCACACCACCAGAGCTCCTATGGCACAGAATAAGCACTCTAAAATGCATATTGAAGGAACAAATAAATAGATGAGTGGATAAATTCATGAATGAAAGGCATATACAATGAAAGCTGTGAAAAGTCAAAACCTTGTAAGGTGGTATAACCTGTTAGAAAAGGAAAACTCAAATATTCTCCACTAAAACAAGCACTAGAAAAGCGGTAAGACTATGTCCTATCAAAGGCAGAATGCAGAGAACTTGCAAGACTCAGAAATAAAGGCAGTAGTGTTGAATTCCAGCTCTCACCGGTTTTACTGTAATAATAACTACACAACGTATAGCTCCTTCATTACCTAGAATCGTGCTAGGTAAACAGATGGGGAAATGATTAAGTAACAACACTCTTAGCTAAAATTGATTGCTTTTCAAATTATAACAGCAAACCATGGAGACTAGGTAGTAGAAAAGATAACAGATCTTAGAGATGAATATTTGAAATATAATCAAGTTTACCATTCCTTACAGTATCAACATCCCTAAGAGCTGTCATCTAACCCAGGGGCTGGGCATTAGGACTAGATTAGTTGCAATTTGTATAATCTCTTGAAACTGGCAAGCATGGTCTCTAAATAGTTACTTTAGTTCATGTGGAACAAAAAAACCCTCAATCTTCTTCAGGAGAAAGTATACCTGTTACAAAGACGCCATTGCCCCAATTGGAGAATACCATGCCCTGGAAATGCCACAGCCTGGAGGACTATCGGAGACATGTTCTTTTTTGTGGAACAGAAGTTATCCAGGTCAAGCCGTCTGGCACCGGGCCTGTAAGAGCGGTTGTTTTGCAAACAGGTTAGTGGTTTCCCCTTTTGTAAATTTATTCCAACACTGAAGGAGGAAGGAGTTGGATTAGGGAAATTTTTATTAGGATCATGGAGTTTGTCACATTCTGGCAATAGCAGTCACATCCTTTTCCAATCAGACCCTTAAAGCCTTAAGTGGCCACCACTTTCAACAGAATGATTCATTGTTAAAACCCTTGTATGTGGTGAAGGATATACATGGATGAAGTAAATCTTATATCCATAGGCTTCTTCTCTTTTCTTCTACACTCCTGCTGAGTGCTTTCCAAGAAAACAGGTTCAGATATTCCCACTATGAGGACTTTTTCTTTTCAAAAACTCCTTTGCTGGGCTGTTATTTCAAACTCCCTGCTGGATATCTCCATCTGGGTGCCCTTCAAACACTTCAAAGTCAACACATCTAAAAGTGAACTTGTCCTCCTATATTAACTCATTTTGTTGAAACCATAGCTGGCTACAAGTCACTTAATATCATTTTTAACTCTTCACTGCCCCTCACACAAAACAAGATGTCAAACACTGTTAAGTTTGCAGTTGTGTCCTTTGACCTTATGTCCTTTGACCTTTTCCTTTCCTCCATCCCCGTCATTGGTGTTCTGTTCAGGTTGCTGTCGTCTCATGTCTACATTATCACAATAGAAATAGTGTTTGGACTGTTCCATTTCAACTTTTGCCCCAACATTTCTCTAACCTGCCCCATAACCTGTCACCCAAGTCACATTTCTGAAACATAGTTTGTAACAGTCTATATTATACATTAAAGTTTTCATTACTACCCACAGCTATAGAATAAGTCCACATCTTTTACATGGTATTACATGATAAAGGCCTTCTAGGATGAAGTCCCAGCTCTCTATACTCACCACTAATGTGTGTCCCTGCCATCCTGCATATTCACAGATCCAAAACACACCTCGCACCTTTCTTTATCACATACTTTAGTTTTAGTATATGATCCAGTTGTTCTAGCCATGTTCTTTTAAGTTAAAAAAACATAATGCTTCATTTTATGTTCAAAGTAGTTGATGAGTATTAGAGTATCCCTTAGGCTGTTGCCTAAGAAGAAGCTAATGAGTGTAGAGTGCTATACCCTGAGGGCCAAAGAAAACAATTAGGATCTACTCCTGGCCTTTAAAAAAGGAGATGTTCTGGTACAGGAGACAGGTGGGTTTATGCTGTTGTTGTTGTTGGTGTGTGCCATTGAGTCGGACCTGACTCATACTGACCCATCCTTGGGTTTCTGAGTTGGTATCATTACAGAAGTAGATTGCCCAACCTTCCTTCTGAGGAGTGGCTGGTGAGTTTGAACCACCAGCCTTCTGGTTAGCAGTCAAGTGCCTTAGGCACTATGCTACCAGGTAGATTTATAGCTAACTAAAACAGGGATGGTGATAGATGCCATATGACCAGGTATCACAGGGATCCCAAAGAATGAAAGATATTATTTTAAGTATGCAGTATATTAGTAGACTGCTTGGGAGATTTATTTGAAGAGGTATTATTTTGAGCCCAACGTGATAGAGTAGGAGGATTTAGCAATTCATATCAGAGGGTGGAAAGGACATGCTAGTTTGTACCTGCAAAACACAAAGGCAGAAATGCATAGGGATCTTCTGGAACTAGTCAACAGTTGAGAGTAGTCTATCAAGGTAGGAGTAGATCTGCTTGAAGGGGATATTGAACATCACATCTAGAAATTAGAACATTATTTTAAAACATGAGGCTTCTGGAGGGTTTTTGATCACAAGAATGACATCACTGAAGGTTTTTGCCTGTATATTTTTTAAGAAATTACTTCCCTGTTTTCCTTTTCTTTTAATCTTCTATTATTTCTTTAAAATTTCTATTACTTTTATCTGTGCTTTAAATCCTTATCTCTCTGGTCACTTCTTAGTCCTCTTTTATGGAAACCCACAATCGAATGGACAGAGACACTGTGTGAGCAAGAGTAGTGAAACAGAGCTAAATGAAAGTCATTTATTGCTCCTTCCTTGTCTTGTAGGAGCTCTGGTGGCGTAGTGCCTAAGGCACTTGACTGCTAACCAGAAGGCTGGCGGTTCAAACCCACCAGCCACTCCTCAGAAAGAAGGTTGGGCAATCTACTTCCTTAGTGATACCGCCTCGGAAACCCAAGGAGGGGTTGCTCCGACTCGACGGCACATAACAACAGCAACAACCTTGTCTTGTAAGAACTATTACTGCAAATATATTCTTAGGTCATAGCAATGATGTTTTCAATCCATAATCAAATGACCCTCTTAATCAATCCTTAACTCAATCCAAACCATTTTTGATTTTCAGAAAACCTGTATTAAAGAACCTTACTTCATCTATGATTATTCTCATGTAGGTTACAATACAGCCAAAGGTGACTTAGTGAGATCCATCCTCTACCCTCGGCCTCTCAACTTCAAACTGTACAGTGATGCCTTTAAATTCATTGTGTTCCTGGCCTTCCTTGGTGTTGGAGGTTTTTTCTATGCCCTTGGGATATATATGCACCACGGAGTAAGTACTGGTGGAAAGGCTTTTCAACAGCACAGCTTTCTTTAAGAGCCTGACCTGACCCAAGAGGGTTAGATAAGATTATTTCTTATTGTTGTTGTTGTTATGTGCTGTCGAGTAGGACCCAACACATAGCAACCCCTCCTTGGGTTTCCAAGGGAGTATCACTACGGAAGTAGATTGCCCCATCTTCCTTCTGAGGAGTGGCTGGTGAGTTTGAACTGCCAGCCTTCTGGTTAGCAGTCAAGTGCCTTAGGCACTACGCTACCAGAGCTCCTAGATTATTTCTTAGTCCCGTCATTTTGTGAAGTAGTCCAACAGAGCTTTTTCAGATGATGGAAATATTCCGTATCTGCAATGTCCTATGTAGTAACCATTAGCCACATGTGGTTACCAAGCACTTGAAATGTGGCTAGCATGACTATGAAAATGAATTTTAAATTTAATTTCATTTTAATTAACTTTAATAGCCACCTGTGGTGAGTGGCATTTGTATTGCGTGATGCAGTTATGAAAACTTGTAAAGTTCAGATCTCTGAATGAGGATGAGGGGTTACAGCATGTGTAGCACTTATGATACATAATCCCAAATAATTTCAAGGGAAACTAATTTTTCTCAAGCCTTATAAGATGGGGAGGATTTATTCAATTATATCTGAGAGAGGAACGGGCATGCTAATTTATGTTAGCAAAGCACAAAGAAAGAAATGGGTAGGAATAGTCTGGAACCAGAAAGTAATTAGGAGATAAGTCTAACAAGGTAGGAGTAGGTCAGATTTAAGGGAATCTTGAACATCATACCTAGAAGTTGAACTTTTTCCTGTAGTATTTGAAAATATACTTTGTCCCAGGGAATATCCAACATGCTATGCAGTTAATGGATTACCAATGTGTTCTGGCTGGGTTCTGAAATAAAATTAAATGCCTACTTTGACAGAGCTGCTGCCTACCACGTAGGATCCTACTTCCCTTTAAGCTTCATTCAGGGTGTCATTTCAATTTGGATGCCTCTTTTCATAAGTTTGATAGTGGTGGGAGGTGAACATTGTCAAGAATTAACTTTGAGGTCATTTTTGGTTGTCAGAATGTGACTCTTTTGTGAGCCATGCAGTCTCTCTGGTAAGAAATGCAAGGATCTTAGTGTGGTAAGCTGGTAGGAAGGAGAGGAAACTGTGAATAAAGAGGTCCAAACACAGATGTGAAGCTGGGAATGGCTGATCTAATTACAGGGCCCAAACTAATGGCATCAGGACATTCGATGTGTTGTGCGTGAGGGGTGGGCTAGGAGGTGAATATCGATGGGTAAAGACATGACCACAAGAATTTCTAGGCAATGTTCATTGTCCAAATGAAGCTCTGAGTAGTCATTTCAATCTGAAATAAGCCTCCAGAGAGCATTTCGAGGGTAGAGGAGAGCAGGGCATTTTGGCACTACTAGTTGGGAGCTCTGGTAGCATAGTGGCTAAGACACTTGCCTGCTAACCAGACGGCTGGCGGTTCAAACCCACCAGCCACTCCTCAGAA